CGGGCAAGCACACGCACCCTCTCAAAAAAAAAAAAAAAAAAAGAAAACCTCTCCAAAAAAATAAATAAATAAAATATCTACTATGTCAAAGTTTTAGTATATCAGGGAATTCCAGTTTGTGAAAAATGGAATTAAAATACACATTTTTTAGTACAAAAATTTTTGAAATTTATGCATAGATTTTCTGGTAATATATTCCATGAGCTTTCTGAAGAACACACATACAAAACAGGATGACGGGTCATCACATGCCAGTGTCTGACTTTTCTTGAAGCCATTCGTTTGTCCCTGACAAGCCACAGCTCTGAGATCACCTCCCTGGCCCTGGGTCTGACAGCTCTTGTCTGCTGTGTACTGTGGGTTTGCCAGTTGGCCTCACTGGTGACTCCTGTACATCAGGAAGCGCTAAAACGAATGATCGATCCTCAGAGGAAAAGGTGACAGGATGGTTTAATTGCAATTTGCCTGACATCGCTTCGTAACTCAGCAGCTCAAGCCTCTCTCTTCCCCCTGCAGGTATCGAGAGGTTTAAAGGCCAATATTTCCACAGCCGCCAATATAAGCACCCGGACGGATTTGAAAGGAATCGCATCCTGGTGATCGGAATAGGAAACTCGGCCTCGGACATCGCTGTGGAGCTGAGTAGGAGGGCTGCCCAGGTGCAACGCCCGCCCACCCAGGGCGATGGGACAGGGAAGAGGGCAGTAGAGAAGCAGCGGTAGTCAGGCTCTGTTCGTGCTGGCTGGGTGGTGGGGAACTCGGCCATTCGCATGCCTTCATGGAAATCAGGAAGCCGGTTGACTTCCGCTCTGCCACTGGCCCGCCATGTGCCCTGGAGTGAGCTGTTTCTCTTCCTTCTCTGCTGCCCTTGTTTTTCAAATGGGAAATTTTGACCAGATAAGATAAGAGACCTTGTTTCTACCCAGAGCACTTAATTAGAAGTTGACATATTAATATTTGTGGGGAGAAGCCTTTTACAAATTTAGTGCATACTTGAATTGTATTTGAAATGTGAAATGTAAGTATTCCTCAGTTACCCAAGTGTTATAAACAGAAAGACAAATGGGTAACAAGACTGCCAACCAAGACCACAGACATGAGGGCCCCTGAGGCCCTCTGACCGCTGTCCTCTTTGCACCCACTCAGGAAAGACAGCACCGAGCTGCCGCAAGGTCTAACGCTACCAGGTGTAGGCGATGTGGCAGAGGTCATTGGGAACGGCAGGACACGGATCCCTTCTGGAAGGACAGTCTCAGGCATTGGTGGGAGCTTTGCTCAGGGTCTGCCGAAGCACTGTCTGCACAGGCCTGAGCCAGGAGGCATCACTCCTACCTCCCTCCTCAGCCTGGAGCCTCTGCCCACTACCAGCCTGTCTCACACTCGCAGGCTTCGAGATGCCCCCTAGCAAACATGATGATCCACCCCACTGCCCTCAGGTGACCAAGAGGGCCACCTGGGCCCATGAGAGATGCCTCCCAGTGCCAGCCTGGGCAGAGCAAGTCACTAAGACCAGAGAGGGACTTACTCAACTGAGAAACCATCCTCTTCTTGGGGGAAAAAAAAAAAAAAAAACTTTTCAGTTTTCAAAGTGTTCAGACCCCAGTGTGAAGAACAAGGGAGAAGGCAGTGGCTTGGGGCAGAGCAGAAGAGTGAGAGCCACAGCTCTGGGCCCTCCTGCTGGGACTCTGCAGAGCCTGCAGCAGGAAGAGGTTCTTGTAAAGCCAGAGGAAGAGGCAGGTGGGGTGCGATGAGTGGACCAGCACCCAGTGAAGATCCGTCCTAGACCACAACACAGCATGCAGTGACCTGGACCCGAGACAGACATGCCCGAGAACACGTCTGGGCTGCAAAGCCAGGTCTTTGTCGGGGTGGTCTTCCCTGTCGTGGAGTCAGACTCAGTATTTAGAAGCTACCTTCCCTCTATCTGTGTGCCTTACAATGTCGTAAATGGCCTTTTACACAGTCTCTTCAATACTTGTTAGGTTAATAATGTGGACCTGTAATTATGGCAAACCTCTTTTAAAGAGTAATATATTCTTGGCCAGCCCATGGAGTGAGGGTTAAGGCAGCCAGATCCCACACAGCCAACCATGTGGTTTGAGTCCCAGACCCAGAGCTTGAGAATTCCTCAAATCCCCAGAGGAGGGACAAGCAGAGGAAAGAGATTATAGTGTGACCATTCCATGTCAGGGGAGGGGAGGTGCTCTCTCTGTCTCTGTCTCTCTGTCTCTCTCCAGCCAGTGCACATGCCCTCGAGCAAATTAAAAAACAAAATAGAGGGACCAGCAGTTAGCGTAATGGCTATGTTGCTAGACTCCCATGTAGTCGACCGCGGTTTGCATCCTGGACCAGGTGGCTTAAAACTCGCACCAGGCGCGTGTGCGTGTGTGCCCAAGATCCCAAGAGGAGAATAGAGGAGAAGGGATTGTGGTGTGGCTATCCCCCCGGGGGGTGATTGTCTCTCTGTCTCTCTCGGGTCAGTGACACACCCCCATAAGAAGAGCCTCTAAAAAAAAAAAAAAAAAGAAAAAAAACAGTAACAGTTCTCAACCTTTCTGAGAAAAGACCGATCAGAGTTTACAGGAGTTATGTACAATATGTAAGGGGCAGAATTAGGCGTCCTGCACAGCTTAATGTTTCAGCCTAAAATCACTAACATCCCAAGTGCACCCTGTTCTGTTAAAGGCCGTTCACGCGTGTAAGGGTAGGGCTCCTCTACCACAGTCCCAGACACCACGACAGCACTGGGTTACACACACTCCACCATGATCCGAGGCTGGCCCTCAGTCTGAAGCGTGCGTTTCAGGAGACTCAGCCTGAGCCCAAGTCCTCACACATGGCACAAGTCACTGCTAGTGGAGCCGGCCAGATTGGGCTCGCCTGCTTTGTGGGGGTGCGGGGTCACCAGAGAGAGAGAGAATGAAACAGGCAGTGAAACGTGAAACATGATCGATGTTAAGGAAGACAGAATAGCAAGTAAAGGGAAAGACTCCAGTGAAAATATTTAAATAGTATCTAACACCTGATCGGTCTCGCCACATCAGCATGAGGACCACAGCAGGGAGAAATCAGGACATCGGAGTATTACCACACGCAAGCCTACAGTGCCCTTGTGTTTCATGGCAGAGCAGGGCAGCGAGAGCTCTACCAGCTAAGTAAGGCCCTCCTCCACAAAAGGTGTGTCCAATCTGGCTCACTCCAGCTGAGCCCTTTTTCCAGCCTGGACATACAAAGTGTTGACAACTAGCAGTGCTTATCACTTTCCAGGCAGTATTTTCAGTACTTTACGTATGTCATCTTGTTTAACCTACACCATAATGTTATGAGGTAGGTACTGTTATTACCCCATTTTATAGACAGAAAAACTGAGGCACGGAGAGTGTGAAATGGCTCACCCAATGCAACACGGCAAGTCAGAGGTAGGGCTGGGATTCAAACTCAGGGCTGGGATTCAAACTCTGGATCTGGAGTCCATGATCTTAACCTCTTAAGTGAGCTGGTTCCTTGCGAGTAAATCTGATTTGCTTACCAAGGCCAGCCTTGTACAACAGAACTCCTGGGATGGTCTGTAAAGACTTAAGAAGCGGCTCAAATGTGCATGGGAGAGAAACAGGGCTAGTGGGTGGCATAGCGGTTAAGGCACTGAACTCCCACATGACTGACCATGGTTTGAGTCCTGGACCTATGGCTTGCTTTCTCACTCTCCTTCTTTCTCTCTCTCTTAATTACCAAGGCCAGCCTTGTACAACAGAACTCCTGGGATGGTCTGTAAAGACTTAAGAAGCGGCTCAAATGTGCATGGGAGAGAAACAGGGCTAGTGGGTGGCATAGCGGTTAAGGCACTGAACTCCCACATGACTGACCATGGTTTGAGTCCTGGACCTATGGCTTGCTTTCTCACTCTCCTTCTTTCTCTCTCTTTTAACAAATTGAATAATAATAATAATAATAATAATAAATAAAATGAAATAATTCTCTCTCTGTCTCTCTATATATGCATATATATATATATATATATATATACACACATACATATGTGTATATATACACATCATTTCCACTTGTATTCTCCCATGGCTATACAGAGATATCCAGACCTATACATTTTTACCATAGATCTCTGTTGTCATTAGGCTCCAAGCAGACATTGCCCAGGACCATGACTGTTCACCTGCACTGAAAAGACGGGCTGGGTGGACAGAGAGAGGAGAGGGAAGAAGAAGCTCTTTAAGGAGCAGCAAATCACACTATGAACATGGTTGGACACTTGTGGAGTTTGTGACTAATGCTAGCTCAAAGATGTTCCTTCTGCCTCTGTGAAGTTCTCAAGACTGTCGCAGTCTTCCCCTGTCAGGATGTCATTGCAAAAAGCAGTAACCACCTTGAGGTGGTTCTCTCAAACTCAATCAAAAGTTCTGTATTTACTATTTGAAAAACTCCCCTCAAAAAATCAGGGGCCCACACATGTGACCCTTGACCTGCACAGCAGACTCCTCCTGCCCTCCTTAACTGGCATTCCCTTTGCTTACCAGGTCTTCATCAGCACCAGGCAAGGCTCCTGGGTTATGAGCCGCATCTCTGAAGATGGCTATCCCTGGGACATGGTGTTCCACACTCGGTTTAGCTCCACACTCCGAAACGTCCTGCCTCGGACAGCTCTAAAATGGATGATGGAACGGCAGATGAATCGGTGGTTCAACCATGAAAATTATGGTCTTGAACCTCAAAACAAGTAGAGTAGTTTTGCTTTTTTATGGTGTACTCACTGGTCTGCACAGGTGTCTTTAAGTTCCTGTCTTTACAAAGATCCAAACTGCTAGGATGGTAGTTCAGATGAGAACCTGACAGTGAATGTAGCATAGTGTCCTGCAATTTGCATCCCAAATTTTATTGGCATGCCTTAAAACATGTACTTAAGAAGACGAAGTAGAGAGTAACAGCTACTCCAGAAAGCAGAAGTAGGATTAGTGGGCAGAACTCTCCATCACTCAGGGTGTCCACCACTGGAGAAGGCTGCTTTGAGAGACTATGGCCTTCCTTTCGGAGGTGCAGGGCAGGAAGCTTGGACTCTCCATTTGATAAGTGATGCTTTTCTAGAGGCTGTGCACCATGAATGTGCTTCCCACGGGCAGCTCTTGGGAACATATTTATTTCTCTTTGCCAAAAGACAAATCTCTGTTGATCTCAAAGTTGTACTTCATTGATATGGTAATCCTGAGTAAACATTGTAGATGTTTATTTTTCTTTAGTTGATAAGGGCCTCCTTCCCTTAAAAACAGAGCTCTGTCTGAGTGTCTTCTAACAAATACCATGTCACTACTGTATTCTGAGAGCTTATATGTGTATCATGTACTGTTCTACTTTAAAAACAAAAAATAGCAAATAGTTCTCAAATCTACAAAAGAAAATGTGAACTTCAAAAATATAAGCAGATATGGGGCCAGCAGGTGGCATGGTGCTGGACTCCCACATGCCGAATGTTTGTATTCCCCAATTCAGTAACTTGAAAATCATACTGGGAGTGTGTGTGTATGAGTGCCCCAAATTTTGAGAGAAGAATGGAGAAGAAAGGGATGATTTTTACTTTCCCTTTCTCTGCCTCTCTCCAGCAAGTGAACACCTGAGAAATGAAATGAAATAGCAAAATAATTAAAGATAGATAACATTAAAAAATGGTGAAAACATGACGGGGATGATAACCACCAGAACACCGAGAGGTTGATCCTACCCACCGGCATTTTCTCTAAGCTCTCAAGAATGCCCCACGTTTTGAACTTTCATTCCCATCATCTACATGTTGACGTGTTTTTCCGTGTTCATTGAGGAGAGAAAGCCAGATGCTAAGACTTAGAACAGGCCAAATAGTCAAGTGAGAGTTTTTCGAATAGTTGAAAATTTATTTTCAGAACCACTAGTGAGAAATGTCACTGAGTCCAAGAGCCTCAGTAAATTAGTCTTCTGAATGTTTTCTCTATATGCCTCAGATACCTCATGAAAGAGCCTGTGTTAAATGATGATCTTCCAAGTCGTCTACTCTATGGAGCCATCAAGGTAAAACCAAGAGTGAAAGAGCTCACAGAAACTTCCGCCATCTTTGAGGATGACACAGAGGAGAACATCGATGTCATTGTCTTTGCGACGGGATACACTTTCTCTTTTCCCTTCCTTGAAGATTCACTGGTTCAAGTGGAGGACAACATGGTCTCACTGTATAAATACATCTTCCCCCCTCACCTTGAGAAGTCTACCCTTGCATGCATTGGTCTCATCCAGCCCCTGGGCTCCATTTTCCCAACTGTAGAACTTCAAGCTCGCTGGGTGACAAGAGTTTTCAAAGGTGAGTGGGCAGGTGGGTGGTTGAGGACTTCAGACCTGGTGGAATGTGCTCAAGAGGTCAGGCAAGGAAGTTGCAACAAGAACAACCTCAGCCGTTCTCATAAGACTAACATCCTAAAAAGTGAGCAGACAATTTTAAAAATAACAAATACAGGGATATAGTAATAGAAAATATCTATAGTTATCTTTTTTTTTTTTTTGAGAGAGAGAGAGATTTTTCCTATAGAGCACGTGTGTTTGCCAGAGAGACAGAGAGAGACAGAAAGTAAAAAAATCAGTCCCCAGAGGGGATGGCTATGTAGCAATCCCTTCTCCTCTGTTCTCTTCATGGGATTTCAGGCAAGCACACACATGTGCCCAGCATGAGTGTTAAGCCACCAGGCTCAGGGCTTAAACTGCAGTCAACTATGTAGGAGTCCAGCAATGTAACCATTATGCCATCTGCTGGTCCCTACAGCTATTTCTTTAAGATCTTAAGCAGTTCAGAGAATTTCAATTGGCATAAAGTTTAGTACATGTGAGTCATGAGAATCAGTTTAAGATACAAAACATCCATGTCTTTTTGTTTTACATATGTAGTGTTTACAAACTCCTCAGAATATGTGCAAATCAAACCAGAACACCGAGAGGTTGATCCTACCCACCGGCATTTTCTCTAAGCTCTCAAGAATGCCCCACGTTTTGAACTTTCATTCCCATCATCTACATGTTGACGTGTTTTTCCGTGTTCATTGAGGAGAGAAAGCCAGATGCTAAGACTTAGAACAGGCCAAATAGTCAAGTGAGAGTTTTTCGAATAGTTGAAAATTTATTTTCAGAACCACTAGTGAGAAATGTCACTGAGTCCAAGAGCCTCAGTAAATTAGTCTTCTGAATGTTTTCTCTATATGCCTCAGATACCTCATGAAAGAGCCTGTGTTAAATGATGATCTTCCAAGTCGTCTACTCTATGGAGCCATCAAGGTAAAACCAAGAGTGAAAGAGCTCACAGAAACTTCCGCCATCTTTGAGGATGACACAGAGGAGAACATCGATGTCATTGTCTTTGCGACGGGATACACTTTCTCTTTTCCCTTCCTTGAAGATTCACTGGTTCAAGTGGAGGACAACATGGTCTCACTGTATAAATACATCTTCCCCCCTCACCTTGAGAAGTCTACCCTTGCATGCATTGGTCTCATCCAGCCCCTGGGCTCCATTTTCCCAACTGTAGAACTTCAAGCTCGCTGGGTGACAAGAGTTTTCAAAGGTGAGTGGGCAGGTGGGTGGTTGAGGACTTCAGACCTGGTGGAATGTGCTCAAGAGGTCAGGCAAGGAAGTTGCAACAAGAACAACCTCAGCCGTTCTCATAAGACTAACATCCTAAAAAGTGAGCAGACAATTTTAAAAATAACAAATACAGGGATATAGTAATAGAAAATATCTATAGTTATCTTTTTTTTTTTTTTGAGAGAGAGAGAGATTTTTCCTATAGAGCACGTGTGTTTGCCAGAGAGACAGAGAGAGACAGAAAGTAAAAAAATCAGTCCCCAGAGGGGATGGCTATGTAGCAATCCCTTCTCCTCTGTTCTCTTCATGGGATTTCAGGCAAGCACACACATGTGCCCAGCATGAGTGTTAAGCCACCAGGCTCAGGGCTTAAACTGCAGTCAACTATGTAGGAGTCCAGCAATGTAACCATTATGCCATCTGCTGGTCCCTACAGCTATTTCTTTAAGATCTTAAGCAGTTCAGAGAATTTCAATTGGCATAAAGTTTAGTACATGTGAGTCATGAGAATCAGTTTAAGATACAAAACATCCATGTCTTTTTGTTTTACATATGTAGTGTTTACAAACTCCTCAGAATATGTGCAAATCAAGAGACTGAGGTCTTGGCCCATCCTGGATTCCAAGTCATTCTCAACACCCAGGCATCTTAACTTCGGAAAGTCCTAGGAGGCTGTCAAAGTACTGAAGTGTTCCCACATGGGCCCTGTCCTCCTCACAAGCTATTATCTCCTGCCTCTGGAGTTCAGTTCTGTTCAGCAGTAACTCGTCGCATGCCTAGCCTGAACAGAGAATTTAAACAGATCATTTCAGCAGACATGGAAAATGCGTGGGTGGTAGAAGGCATGGAGTGCTTTGAGAAGGAGAGAGGAAAGGGCACCCGGCAGGTGGGGACAGCACGTGGGCAAGGGAAACCTAGTTTCTCAAGCACCTGAGCCCATGCCCGAGTCATGATGCGTGTGGGAATTACAGGCACTGGACATTCCTTGAGCACGATGTGTGAGGGAGTAACCTGAGAGAAGAACGGGACAGGGCAGGGACTCTGAAAATATGCTAAAAATTGTGGATTAAAAAATGAATATCATGGTCCAGCCAGTGGTATGGAGGTTAAGGTGGCTGATCCACATGACCTACTACATGGTTTGAATTCCAGACCAAGTGGCTTGAAAAACATGCAGGGCACGTGTGCATGCATGCCCAAATCCCAAGGAGACTGGAGGAGAAGGGACTGTGGCGTGGCCATCTCCCCAGCTGGTGATTTCTCTTTTTTTTTCTCTCTCTCTCAGTCTTTAACTAGTGCACACTTCCTATAGCAAAATGAAACAAATAGGGACCTGCAGTTAAGTCAATGGACTCCTACATGGGCAGCCATGGTTCAAGTCCCAGATCTGGCAGCTTAAAGATCACACTGGACACATGTGCATGCATGCCCAAAACCCTTAGAGGAGACTCGATTGCAGCATGGCCCATCCCCCCTTAGGGGCGATTTCTTACTTTCCCACTCTCTCTCTCTGTGTCCCTCTCTGGTGAGCATACGTTCCCTAGGGCAAAAACCTAAAAAACAGAAAACAATAAAAAAAAATGAATATCAGTTTTTCCCATCTGGGTACCCATAGAAATCACCTGATGGGCCTCCAGAGACCCTGACTAGATTTGACCTGAGGACCTGGATTCTGCTTTTAGAAAGCTTTATGGCCAGAGGCACCAAGGGTTCTAAGCAAGGAGCAGGCACCACCAGATTTGTTAACACTTCGGGCTGATGATCTCAGCAGAGCTGTGGAGCATGGGATTGAGAGAGGGAGAAGCAGAGAGGCTCCGAGACCCACAAGAAGGCTGTGCAGTAGTCGGGACTAACGCGAGACGCAGCCTAGACCAGGGCAGAGAGAAAGTGGAAAAGAAGGCATGACGGTGGGAAACAGCTCAAGATAAAATGAGCTCAATACGGGAAAACAAGAGAAAGAGAGGGACCAAGGATGACCCGCAGCTCTCGGGCATCGGAGTGCTGTGAAGAGACAGGCAGGGAGGGATGCACGTCTGGGCAGAAGGGCTGCCGTAATGCGCTCAGGGCTTGAATCGGAGGTGTCTGACGACCAGCCGTATGCATGGGGACTTGACCACTTTTCACCATGTCTGAAGCTCAGGGGACCCTGGGTATAGGAGCAGGACCCATAAACATACCATAGCAGCTCTTACCTGCTCTGCTTTACCTATTCCCAGAGCCCTAGTGTTGTTTGGGTCATTCTTGGCTCTCACAGGTTTACTTCAACAATCTCTCCTCTGGTCTCCTAGCTTTAGGCTTGCCTCCTTGGGGTCCACTTTTCCAAATGCCACAGCCAGAAACATCTTTCCAAAATCCAAATCTGCTCCCACCTGGTGCAGGAGGCCCTGCCATAGCATTCTGTCACCTTCAGGATAGAGCCCCGCCACATGGCACAGCTTGCAGGTTCTTCAGAGCGGCTCACCTCTGGCCCCTTTGCTAAGCACCCCCACCTTCTAGTCCAGGTGCAGACCTTGCTCCATGGGCAGTCACAGAATGCTGGCATGGCAGCCCCTGGAGCTCAGCAGCATGGCAGTGCTGACAGGTGTGGCATGGCTAAACGGCAAGAATTTAATTTTAAGAGTAAATACTATAGGGCCAATAGTTGGCATGGTGGTTAAGGCACTGAACTCCCACAAGGCCAACTGCGGTTCAAGTGCTGGGCTTGGCAACTTGAAAATTATGTATGTGTGTGTGCCCCAAATCTGAGAGGAGACTGGAGGAGAAGAGATGGAAGCATGGCTATCCTCCTGGGGGTGGGGGGTGATTTCTCACTTTCTTTCTCTCTGTCTCTTTCCGGTAAGTGCAATGTCCTATGGACAAAGTAAATAAAGTACTACATAGAATGATAGTGAGTTAAACCTACCACCTAAATCAGTCTTTTATTTTTCTAGGCTTGTGTAGTTTGCCCTCAGAGAAGACTATGATGGCAGACATTATCAAGAGGAGTGAAAAAAGAATCGACCTGTAAGAATGCTTTTGAAATAATTCTTTACACAGAGCAGTGATTCTCAAAATACTGTGATTATCTGCCTACGGGATTCACCTCTGAATCACCTATCACTACGTTTGATAAGAATGCTACAGCCCAGATGAACTGAATCAGAAGCTCCATGGATGAGTCTAGAAATTTGCATTTTTTTTAGTGTTCTTTCTAGATCATTACTTTTGAAAAATTCAGAAGAGTGAATGTGCTCAATGGAGAGAGAAAGAGAGAGACAAATTGATAGGAAAAGTGAGAAAGCAACCCCCACGGGGCATGGTCGTAGCACAATCCCTGCTCCATCTCTCCCTCCTGTTGGGGTTTTAGGCACACACACCCAGTGTCTTTTTCAAGCCACCAGATCTGGGACTTGACCGTGCAGTTGACCATTCGGGATCCAGTTTCCCCAGCCACCTTGCCACTGGCTGGCCCCTAGGTGGTCCTTGTACACACTAGTTTAAGAACCAACTGCTCAGAGATAAACATGGTACCAAAGCAGAACTTTTTCCCTTGGATTTTTCATTACAGTTTTATACCCTCCCCCATGTCAGAGTCCCTTCCATCTCAGACCACCCACACTGTGTGGGCAGAGAGGGAATGGGATAGGGGTGGCAGTGGGGGCAGTAGCCTGAATATCTCTGGAAATGAGCCTGGAGATCCCCATCAAAATAAATTGGGTTGGCCAGTCCCATGGCTAGTGGCTGAGCGAGCCGGATTCTGTATAGCCAAGTGCATGGTGCAAATCCTTAGAAAGCACCCACACATGCATGCCCCAAGTCCTGGGTGGATGGAGAAAAGAAGAGAAGGGACTGCAGTATGTTCACACGCCCCTGGGGTGCTTATTCCTCTGTCTCTTTGTTTCTGTTATTCTCTGATAACTCCACTTGTCTGCTGACAAATTATTAGGTTGTCAGTAAAGTTATAATGCATTTTTGCATAGAAAAAGAATGTCATGTCTTTTCTGACAATCCAATAAAATAAACAAACAAATAAATTTGGATGGGGTTGTGAAGGGTCAAGGGTTTGTACTTTTGGAGTGGGTGAAATAAGGTTCAAGAGTGATCAAGTACCATAGGAGGTCGACTTGGGGCCTTACATCAGGTAAAGGGCACCTCCTGTTCAATTGTAACCCCTCTGGTATTTACTGACCCTGCTTGCTGCGTGCCAGCCTCATGTCCAGGTACTCTGGTCTGTTCATAAGCAAACACTAAGCATCTTTTCTTGGCAAATGCTGCACAAAGCTTTCCAATGCGTCCCCTCATGAGCATCTGTAGCACCCTTGACAGCCTGGAGACTCGAGTTGCTTAAAAATACCAAATAACAGTCATGGCTGTGGGTCTTGCCACATTCCAGGGGCTCCCTTAATTCAGAGCTGTTTATCTCCCAGCCTGCTTTCAACCTGAAGTATAGGTCTTGGCGGGACGAACTCCACTTTTTGTGAGGAGTTCATTAAAACCGTGTTCATTGCTTCTTTCATCAGCCAATGAAAGCCTAGTATGCTTATAGAATTAGAACATTTTTTTTCTTTTTGGAGAGGTTTTTGCTATAGGGCGCATGTGTTCACCAGACAGACAGAGAGAGACAGAGAGACAGAAAGCGAGAAATCACCCCCCAGGGGGGATGGTCACGCCGCAATCCCTTCTCCTCTCGGGATTTTGGGCACGCACGCACACGCACCCGGAGTGAGTTTTAAGTCACCGGGTCTGGGACGCAAACCACAGTCGACTACGTGGGAGTCCAGCGACATAGCCATTAAGCTAACTGCTGGTTCCCTAGAATTAGACCATTTTGTGACTGTACCTTCCTTTTTTCAGGTTTGGAGAAAGCCAGAGCCAGATACTGCAGACCAATTACATCGACTACTTGGACGAGCTCGCCTCAGAGATAGGTGCGAAGCCAGATTTCGCCTCTCTCCTGCTGAGAGATCCTACACTGGCTGTGAAACTCTATTTCGGACCCTGCAATTCCTACCAGTATCGCCTGGCTGGGCCAGGGAGATGGGACGGGGCCAGAGATGCCATCTTCACCCAGAAGCAGCGGATACTGAAACCTTTAAAGACTCGAGCTCTGAGGACCTCCAGTCATTGCCCAGTCTCCTCCCTTTGGAAAATCCTGGGGCTTCTCGCTGTCATTGTGGCCTTCTTTTTCCCACTTCAGTGGTCCTAACCTAGCAGCACCAATCTTATGCTGTTATTATCTTGCTATCAGGACCTCTTAAAGAAAAAAAAAAATGCTAACCGAGACACAATTAGTTTATAGTCCAAGTATGAGAGAGGGGACAGTTTTAGGTCTATGTATAAAACCAACATTGTGTCGGGAACCAGCAGTTAGCGTAATGGCTATGTCGCTGGACTCCCACGTAGTCGACCGCGGTTCGCATCCCGGACCCGGTGGCTTAAAACTCACGCCGGGCGCGTGTGCGTGTGTGCCCAAGATCCCGAGAGGAGAATGGAGGAGAAGGGATTGCGGCGTGACCATCCCCCCGGGGGGTGATTTCTCGCTTTCTGTCTCTATGTCTCTCTCTGTCTGTCTGGCGAGCGCACGCGCCCTATAGTAAAAAAAAATATCTCAAAAAAAAAAAAAAAAAAAAACCAACATTGTGTCATGAAAGTGCCCTTCCCTCAGGTTTGCCAGATTCAAAGAAAGTCCAATAAAATAACACTGGCCCAGGGGGATGGTGCTCCTAGCTCTGGTACAGGGAAACA